TACAGCGTAAGATCGCGGACACAAGAGCAGATGAATGATAAGGCTGCTTGCTGAAAAGTGGCATTTGAAAACATAGCAAGTTTATCTTTGATTCACCGAGGTCTGCCACATCTGGAGTAGGATAAAATGGCTTTTAGGGGTACATTATTTGTACCTCTTTTAAAATCAGGGTTGTTCTTTTATTCATTTGTGTCTCAGCTTAAGACACAGGGAGACTGATTCAATGAATATCAAGTCAGTGAATATCCTTTACTCCTGTCGGATTTGGGTTGTAACACATCAGTCAAGGAATCTTTTCTTCTCCCTGTGAATCCTTAAAGCACTGAGCACACCAACAGTACTTTGAAAATATTAAAGGGAGAGAGCAACACAGAAGAGAGCTTTTGAACAACCTCAAACAACAGCTCATTCTTCAGGTCTACTTTCAGTAAACATGATTGAAGTACCTCTCATACTACAGGATCAAACAGAAACAACCACCATCAGTGATAGAAAAGGAGAAATCAGGACTTACCAACCACTGAAAATACGGCCAAGACGATCAGAAATTGCTTCATGAATAACTATGCAAGCTGGGCTGGGAGAGCAGGCAGCTGATCCTGTGTGCAGGTGAATCACCTTTTACAAGATCTAAATTCTTGTTTGTGAGGCTGGGTTGGATTTGTTGCCCAGTAACAGGCTGCAGAGCTACTATCCCGCCTGCATTCGGATCTGAGATCACCAGCTAAAGATGTGTGCGCATGTGTAAGAGAGAATGTAAGAGTGACAACAGGAGCACCTCTCCCCTTCTGAGTATGCACACCTAACTGAACAAAGGTGCACAAGCCAGAGGCTTAGAAAATCCCCAGCTTTTGAACACGAGCCAAATATCATTTTGCTGATAAAAAGCTTCCTGCCTGAAAGCCCTCACTGAGGTCCCTTGGGTTTGGGGCTTGTTTTTCTGGTCAGGTAACTTTGATTTGCTAAAACTCTAGAAATTAAAACTTAGTGCTGTGCGCCTAATTGGTATTATAACTGCTGCAAGCAAGACACCTGTTTCCTCAAGAAAGACCTTTGACTACTTTCTTAAAGTGAAAGTCAGCCAGATCAGTAGTTTTTAAGCTCTTCTGGTGTTCATACTGGGCATAGATGGGAGCCAAATGACTAGCACGTGGCCCTGCTGCATACTGGGCAAAGCACGAGCTCCTCAAGTCTGCCATGGCTCTGCACTACCAGGTGGCTGCAGAGGTTCTCTCATTTGACATAGAAAGGAGGTAGGCTTTCCACAGGGGAGCATGTGCCGTCCCATGGCTTTTCTCAGAGGCTGCTGTAGGCCTACAGTTTATTTTTGTGGCTGCTTACAGTATAAGGCTCTGTTCTGAGTATCACAAATGCCATGTGGTAGGAACTGGAAGTTTGTATGAAATCTAAACAAGAAAGAGGTATAGTTCCTTTTCCACAGCTTTGTTAGTTTTTTAGGGTGTTGTTAAGTTACATTTTCAGGCTTTTCTCAGAAGAGGGAGAGACATTTCCTTCTCTGGTCAAAAGTGAAAGCTAATTGCCTGTGTTCAGGAGATGTGGATTTAGAACCCCCAGATGTGTGTAACATCCGAAGAAGTGGCACAGCTGCATGCTGCTTATTTTACCCAAGATGTCCTAAGCAGAGAAAGCTTCACACATGCAACCTGCATTTGAGGCTTAGGAATCTCCCTTAGCCCTCTGCTTTTGAATTTTTATAGTATAGCTCTTCCCTCAACACAGACAGGATAACCTCCCTGGCGTATTTCTCTGGCTTGCTTTATCCCATGGTCACAACTGTTCACAAAATGAGGAAGTCCTGTCCTCAGTTTTGCCTAGGACTAACTGGACCTTTGCATAAAGCTGAGGTTCCACCAAAGCAAAACCAGCTGGACTGTCCTTCTGAGCACCGAGAACTTTAGCTTTAACAGAAATATCTGCCCTAAACCACATCGGACAACTGTGCATTAGACAAATTCCTCACGAACAGTGCACTTAGATTGTCTAAAGCCTATTTAAAGTGCCTAAATGCTAGAAATTTTTCTGTGCAATTTATTTATGAATTTATTACATGTAAGTCCCATAAGCAACATCACACCTGCAGCCAATTTAATCAAAGTGCAAACCATGTGTGTTTCTGAAGCTGAAAGCACACTGGTTTCAATATTCTATCCTTGTGGCCAAATGTGTGATAGAAATTAGTACCCCTTCTGGTTACCTCTTAATCTCATGGATTTTCTGTTCCTGAAGTTGCTTCTAGTCCCTGCCCTGCTTCGATATTAACAGGGCTTATGCTTCAAACTATGCATCTCTGTAATTTTGTCTTTATCATCTCACCTGGACAAATGCAGGAGCCTCACAGGTTTATTAAACAAGACACACCTGTCCATTGGTATGGCCTAAATCTAATGAAGTACAACTCTTTGTTAGGGTGTTTCCTGAATAGCTTGTTAAAGTATTTCCATTTTTTCCTTCCTTCATGTCATTGCCTGACACTTCTGCTGCGTGATGACTCATGATAGGGCAGAGGTGAGGGAAACTGTAGTGCACCTGAGACTTCAGTTTTGAGACTATAACTTAAAAATTTATTTCTGCCCTTATTTCTGGAGAGATGTTACCTTTTGAATAGCCCAGGAAACACATCTCTGAATCTTTAGGTACCTAAGGATCTCCAAAAGTCTGGTTCTGACTTTAAAATTAAATGCTTGGCTTTCGACTTCCAAACTGTAGAGCCTGAGCCTATGTCAAAAGTTACTTCCTAAGGACAAAAACAGACTGAGAGGTTTGTAACACAGATTTTCCATGGAACTCTGCTTATAACTTGGCACAGCTGGGGGAAGAGGAGAAAAATCTTGTGCGCCAGAGATTTGTGAAGATGGTAGATTAAGGCCAAAAAGACCAAGGTGGTTATCTCCCCTGAGCTGCTGCAGCACTCAGACTGCAGAGCCTCGCTCTGGACTGCGTGAAGCCTTGTGACTGATGATCCAGGGAGGTAGGAGATTGGATTCCCGCTCTTGCACTTATCCAGTAGATGAGCAATGTCCAGGTTTTTTGGTTGACTGGGTCATACCTCTTCCAGTGAGAGGGGAGAGCTGCTTTTCTCATTACACAGCTACAACTGTTAAGTAAGGTGTAAGACATGGACTGGTTGCTGTGGAAGAGGGAGCACTGTGCTCTGGCCATCCCTGACCCTTTTGCAGTGGAAAGCAGGTGTCAAGCCCAGGTGAAAGAAGACACGGAGGAGTGGGATGCTGCCTCCACCAGTACAGCTCGCCTGGCCTGCAGCCTTTCCCCCAACTTCCATCCTGAGAAAAACTGGACAAGACAAAGAAGTGATCCCAGGCCCTGTTTGCAGAGCTGTGACATGTCAAAGTAATTTTGAAGAGGTTTCACAACTTCAGAGCTTCCTGTAACTCAATGCCTGGGGTTTTTTCCTTGATTGCAAAAGAAAATGGGTGGCGACTGTATTTGGATGATCTATATCTTTCTAAATGAACAGGAGGGATTATAGTGCAGGATGTACCTGAGGACACTTTGTGGAGGACAAGTAAGAAACAAAAGGAAAATTCTAGCTGATAAATCTTTTCTCCCACATCCCCTTTTTACTGTCATTTTGGAACTTAATTAGTACATCTTGCTTTCTTCTTTCAAAGCAGTTCCCAACCCCTCCTATCACCCCCTACCTCTTTCTGATGTTGTTCTCCTGATGGCTCTGAAGATGTCAACTTCAATATCCTCCATCAACGCCCTTCCTGCATCTGAGACAACTCGCTGTGAATGGCTGTTGTGTGTCTCCCTCTTTTCTTTTAATGCTTTGCTTTTCTGCATGTCCTTTTACTGGAATAAAATGGGAGAGTATGTTTCTGTGAGATGTGAAGAGTGCAAATTAAAAATACACTGAAAAGGCCAGTATTGACCAGTGAGGAGAGGCCTTGTCTCTCCTGTGCCTTTTGCTGGTGGATTTCTGATTGCATTCTTTGCTCAGAGAGATGGTCACAGTCCTGGTCTTTCAGTGACCGAGAGGGAGACCTGGCTGGGAAGTCTCATAGGATTCCACTCAAACCAAAGCATTAGGAATGGGGAGCCCAGGACTGAGCCCTGTTTTAAAATGTACTGTTTTTCAGGATCAGCTGCAGCCACCCTTTGTAATTCTGGGAAACATAAAAACACACACACGTGGAGTTATATACCAAAATATTATTTCCTCTGTATAAAGCAGCTCTCAGACATCTGCACAGCAGGGGGAATTTCAGCATCAATAAGTATATTTGTATAAAACCAAAAATAAATAAACGAACAAACACACTGCACATTTATCACTTTGGCTTCAGTTCACTCTGTTGAAACACAGAAGGTGATCTCTGCCGGTCGAGATGATCTTTTCATCCCACAAAAAGCAAAGGTTGTTAAATGTCTCTGTGAGGTACTTCCCGCCAAGCAGGGGTGCAGCTTTGCAGTTACAGAGAAGCAAATGTAACATCAGCAGTTCATCCTGGCTCAAAACCAACATGCAGGCACAACACTGTGTTTTCAGAACCCAGCTAATGGTTTCACACAGGTGTGGGCTGTGGTTTTGCTGTCTCAGAGGTATTTTTGTCTTTCATAACTCACATGTAAAAGTTACCCTGCTTTGAAGTCTCAAGTGAACACAAGGCACTGCGTGTTTGTTGTGTGATACCTACACGAGGTATCACTGCGTGCCTCACCCCTGGCTGGGTTCAAATAGCGTGTCTCACACCAGAGCCTTAACACCTTCCCAACAGCTGTACTTGTACAGAGGGGTGGGGAATGTACATTAGTTACTTAGCAGTAAAAATACGCCTTTGTGTCCCTAAAGCCATGTGCCTCGATAGGCCAGACGTCAGTATAAAAAACTCTGTATAGGTGAATAAATAGAAAAAGCACTGCTCTCAGTTATTTGTCCTTGTTGTTCAGGTATCCTTGCCTGGATATCTGGAGCTCTCTAGCATTTTCCAGGCATGCCACAGAACTGCTAGGGTACTCTAGCTCCTTCCCATGTAATGTGTGTGCTCATAGCCTTTGAATTTAAACTTTTGACCATATTTTTCCTCCATATTTGAAGTTTCAAATGCATCACTTAGCACCGTGGATGTGGGAGGTGTCTCTTCTGTAAAATTATTGCTGTCACAGTCACTTGCAATACCTTCATCTTCTGCCACCTGTAATGTCTGAAAGGAAATGAGCAGCTCGGTGCTGGGATCCTCACTGAGCTGTGATATCTCACTGATCTGGACACGCAGATCAGCTATTGGTTTCTGGCAATACTTGGTGAAATGATGAGCCTTCCTATGCAAGTAGTGCTCATCGGCTGGAAGTTTGGCACAAATCCCCTCTGACAGTGTTTGAAGAGGGATCATTTCCAGGCATTCAGCCCTGTCTGTATCATCCTGTCCATGTTCCCTGGAACCTGGGAATCTCGCATCAGTGAGTGATATTCTTCCCAAAGAGGAACTGTGAGAAAGGGATGCCTTCTCATTTCCTTGGGATCCTGAGGTGTCCACCTCATTCTTTTTCATTGGAAAGAACGAGAAACCCAAGGTACTTAGGTCAAGCACAGATTCACTATCCTCAGAGAGACCTCCAGATCCGGAGTCCAAGCTAGTTTCCCCCTGAGCTGTTCTGGATGGTTCACAGCTGAGATGTCTCTTTGGAAACCGAGGCATTTCAGTGTATGCGATGAAAGTACTGCTGTCTTCTTCCTCTTCCTCCTCCTCCTCTTCTGATGATGATGATGAGAGGAAAGAAGCCATCCATGGTAGGTTGTTTCCTGCAAAAGTTTTTTCTGTCTTCCTCTGTGACATTGGCTTCTCTGTGCAGATAAGATAGTCCCTGAAGAATTCCTTTTCACTGGGCTCACAGTGAAAGGCTGGTCCAGCAGCTTTTAAATTAGATAAATCCTACCAGGGGAAAGAAAGAAAACACACAGATGCAGGTCAATGAGTTAGCGATGCTTTTTAAAGAAAAGTTTGGATATAGGACATGCCAGAATCAAAGCTTACTTACAGTGGGACTTACGAATGCAAAATTGAGAACTGCAAAGCCCATGCAACACCCCCACTCCTCCCCAGCTACCCTCTGCAAATCAGCAAGACTTGGAGTCAGGAGGAGACCCCAGCATTTTGGCCATACCAAAGCATGAGGCATCTTCTTTCGCTTAGGATCTTGTTTCAGTAAGCAGGCAATGACGGCACTTGTCAGAAGGATGGGGAGGACAAACACAGGAATCAAGACAGAAAATGGGATCTTCCATTCCACTGCTGAAAAAGAAAAAGACAAAAATAATCTCCTGCTGGTGGTATATTTTATACTAATAATGGGCTCGTATACTCAGCTTTTCTTTCAGAAATCTCAGAAAGTGTTAGGCTCAAGATCCTTATTTTACAAATGCAGAAGGGTAACGCACTTGCCTAAGACCAGACTCTTAAGTCAGAGTTACAACCACAAATGAATGTTGCTACCAGCCCGTGCCTTACTTGGAGCAGGTAAAAACTGAGGCTTTATTTACTTATTTTTTAGGATACATTTGAATATTCCCAAAATTTCATTGTGAGCATAACTCGAGCACAATATTCCAGCATTTTTAGAAAATATATCAGGATTGGATTTTTTTAATGAAAATGTGTCTACAGAAAGCAGGAACCTGTCTCTAGAAAATCCAACCAGCGCATTTAACAGGAAGCCCATTTTTTTTTTGTTGAAAAGCTCATTTTGGTGGAAATCTTTGACCTGCCCTTATCCCGTTTGATGTCTCCCCACACCCTTTTCTCAGCAGGGCCATACCTTTGTGGCTTAATAGCAAACACACTGGTTGTGAGAATTTGCTGTGCTTAAAGTCAATGCTTTGGAAAGAAGATCTGGCACTTAAACAGTAGTTGCCTCGAAGCGCAGTGGTGTCGATTGTCACTGTGTTCTTCCTAAAGATACTTTCGTATTGCTTCTGTTTAGAAACAAAAAGAACAGAGGGTTGGAAAGCTGATTCTTTCATTATTTGAGTGGTGTTTCTCTACCTTTTGAGCCCATGATTGTCTTTATCATATTGTGTGGTTGGAAGGTGCATGGAGAGGCACTTCATGGCCTGCTTGCTGTTCGTAGCAAGCATCTCCCCCAGGGTTTATGGATTCTAGGGTAGGATTTCCAGCTGGTGCTGTGCTCTGTGCTGCCATGGCACGCTGTTAGCAGTACCTGAACTAGTTGCTTTAATCCTCAGCTATTGCCCTGTTATACTGACTATAGTGTAGCCTCCCCATCACATCTTCCTGATGAAAACAGGGAGCTACCAACAAAATAACAATGTGCACAAACACATCCACTTTTTTTCTCTGGCTTTGGCTTAACTCAGGTTTGGCCATTTCATTTTCTCCAGGCCCTGGATCCAGTCCCTCCCTGCCCAGAAATTTGAATCTATATTAATTCAAGCTGGGCCTCATTCCTCCCTTTCATCACAGAAGTGCTGCTTTTACTGACCTTTTCTTCAGATCCAGCTTCCCAAAGGTTCAAGTCGTACATCCAAGAGAAACTCTCCACACAGGTGGCCAATGGGAAGGAGGCATTCACATGGATTAAGTTCTCCTTGACATTCATACTTAGCACTGGGGGAGCCAGTTCCACTGTAATTGAGTGATCAGATATAAGAACAGTGCTTGCTTGTGTCTTAGCTTCGCAGAAGCAATACTTTTCTGTCACTGGTCTACATTTCTGTTATCTTGTGATAGGCATGAAGGAAAGAGGAAGGCAAAGGAATACCTCTTTTTTTTTTATCTAACATACCCCTGCTGGTATGTGGAAAGCTTTGAAGCCAGTTTGTTCACCTAGAGCAATGATGAACAAATTCTGACACTTGATACAAAATTTATTTTCAAATTATCCTGGCTCATTGTTTGCGCTCACTCAGATCTCAGTCATTCATAAAGCTGCTTGTTACTGTTTCTCTTTCTGTGGTGTGTGGTCCTTTGCTCATGCCAACACTGTTGTTGGCATGTCCTTTCATCAAGGCTGTAACCTAACAGACACTCACCGTCCAAATGGTATTCCTTGAATTGTGATGCTACCCATGGCGACTGCAATTGTCCAGAAACAGCTTTCACTCGAGCTCGGACTTTAACAAAGAAGTTTGGAAGCACACAAGTCAGGTTGCAAGAGGTAGCATGAATGTTTTTGCAATGAGGAACCTTTATCCATTTGTCCATGCGTTCCTGGCTGAAAGAAGAAATAAGCAGACCATAATATGAAATGTGCTGTTTTGATACAGAGCAAGAGAAGAAGGTGTTTTGGAGGATGGGCACTGAGTCTTGCTCAGAGTTTGGAGCACTTTCTAGATGGGTAAGGACTGGTTTTGCTGAAAGGTGAAAGGTGAAATGATGCACTGATCATAAGGACATAGATTAATATCCATGCACAGATGTTTCCCCTGTGCCATACTTTCCCTCAGACATCCTTTGGGAGCGCTTACCTTTCATACCTCACAGTGTATGTCACATCTGGTGGAGAGCCTTCTCCTGGAGTCCATGTCAAAATCATGTCAAAATCCTTTGACACCAGTGTAACATTTTGAGGAGGGGGAAGTTGAACGTGACCTGATTGAAAGGGAAAATTATGTGAATGATTAAAAATATCTTTGAGGATCACCTGGTTTTGACCAAGGTGGTTTCAAAATTTCGGGCAGAGCAGTTCAGTTCACTTGAGTCTGGAAATCAGCTGTGGAAGCAGGTATGTCTGTGATGTAGTTTTCCTCATCTCTTATAGCTTCATCTCAACATCTTTTAGAATTAGGACCAAATTTTGTGTGAAACATCCTATTCTATAATTTTGAGTCGCTTCCCCCCCACACTGGATTTCCCTGTGGCCTGGTTTACAACCCCACAAACTCCAACCCAACTCCCTTGTGCTCCCACCTCCTAGGCCCTGGACAGGGCAGACACAGATGGCTCACACCACTTACTCAATCCCAATTCTTCAAAGGCAGATCCTACGGTGAATGCAGTGAGCTGCAGCGCACAGGCTTGTGTACATCACTAGGCTTCAACAAGACACATTCTACAGCCAGATTATAAATTGCCATTTCTGTACAGTGGAGTATTTCACTTCATGTGAATCATTGCCATTTAAACTGCTTAAAATTCATCATAAAATGCCTTTCCCCCTACACGCAAAGCCACATAGCATAGCAAAATGAAAAGTAACAAAGCTGTACGGTACCTCCAGTCTGCCGCAGGAAGCACAGTGCCATCAGGACTCGGACTCTCCAGTTAGACATGCCGAAGCAGAACTTTTCCACTTCTCATATCCTTCCTTTCCTGCTACCTTTTCATCATGTTGTTTTCTTGTATTAAGTTGTATGAATTACGGAGGAACATGCAGTTAATGAAGTGCACACGCGCGTACAGCTCACTTCCTGGTACGGCCCAAATACAGCCCTGCACGTTGAACTAGGAAAGAGGCAGATGCGAGAGTGCTTTTGATGGAAGAAAAACGCTGTAAAGATTGCAGTACTACGCCCTCCAGTGTAACGTAACTTATCTCTGTCACAGGTTACGTGCAAAATGAACACAGAAAAACAGTACGAGCCTTATCTTGTGAGGCACCTCATTAAAAAATTGACCTTTGGATTTGACCTTTATGGCTGTGAAGTATTAATAGAAATCAAATAAGGTTTTACTGCATCTGATAATAACCTAGCAATAATAAAAAACACTAATCAATCGGTAGTATGTGATATTATGACAGTCTCGTGTTTACAAGAGATCAAGGATTTTCTCTTAATTTATGTTACCAGGTTAAGAATGTTTTTCAGAAGTTAGGGAATTACTCCACTTTACAGATGGGGGAGGTAAAGTGGAGAAATGGGACAGGGATCTGCCCCATACACAGTGTGGGTGAATGAAAGGACGTGGAACCTTCTGATAAATCCTGTCGTTTTGTTGAATGCCAGTGCTGCAATATCCTTATACCTTAGTTGCCACTTATCAGTTATTTGTTATCAACCCAAAAATATCAGTCAAGATCAGGACCAGTTGCCAGGACTGTGCCAACACACGGATGGTTCTTGGCCCCTGCGTTGCCTAATTGATGAGCACATTGGCTGCTGGCCTTGGCATTTGCAGCTATGAAACTCTTGAGGTGTTGGTGTTTTCAGTACATGATACCTTTAAACTCCAGAGCTCTCCTGGGCCAAAGCTCAGTCCCCAAGTTGCTGCCGTATGTTACAGCATTACACATTTTCCTAAAGCAAAGTCCTGGAGATAGGAGTTATGTTCTGTGTGTATCAGAAACACTGCAGGAAACATCCTGGTTCAGCCATGAGCTATGCGACCAAGTACAATATCCCCGGAATAGCTCTGCCATTGCATCCTGTGCGCAGAGAGAAAAGGGGAAAAATAGCCCGCTCAGTCGTGCTGTTGGGTTGGCACGTCTGCTCTCCTGCTCCTCCCATCTCTGTCACCTCCAGGCCTGTGCCATAAGGAAAGGAAATGGGTCAATGAAGTTACCACACAGAAGGTTACACTGGCATAGAAGGAAAGGCGCTTTTCTGGATCTTCCCCAGATGGAAAACTCACCCAGCCCAGCAGAGAGCCTGCTGCTATACCTGTGAATGTCAGGTTCTGAGTACTAGGTGGGAGAGGAGCTGATGGAGCTGGGTTTGAATTGGCAAAAGCGTGTATGTTTACCACGAAGGTATCCAATATCTCATTTCCCTGAGCAAGGTACAATTTGAGCTGTAGGAGGAGACGCAGTTATGAGTTTCTTCAGTCACAACTTTCTCCAAAAATATCCACTTCTTCTTACCACAGGCTTCTGTTGCCAGTACTTTTCTTGTTCCTTGGCTGTTTTGCTACCTCTGTCTGATTTCTGTGAAGTTTCTCTTTCTCATGCAAAAAGAACTATAATGCTTTATAAGGAAATAAACACAGCTGAGGATCTGGAGTGTCATAGGTCTATTCCCCTTTAGTATCCAAGCTGCAGAGCTAGTACCAACACATGGCTCTTACACTTCCCGTAGCAGCCTGAACAAAATAGGAAGCAATTCTAGGGCCAGTCTCATTAAGGTCTTGCTAAGAGCCCTCAGGCAGCTTCTCTTAAAGATGATGTGTGATTTTTAGTAAGCGTTTGCAAGAGGTGAATCTTATCGTCATCATTGTTTCCGGTGAAACATCAGTCCTGAAATCTGGGCTGCACCGGACTCTGTGGCAAAACTCCCCCTGATTTAAGCATGACTGAGGAATTGTCCCAGGAAAAATAAGTGTACTGTTGGCAGCAAACTGTGGAGGGGGGCAGAGGCCTGTGCCACGAGGTGTCGCTGCCTATCAAACAAAATGCATTTGTTCCTCCAAGCGACAGGCTCTCATCTAGACCTATTTAAAAACTTGGCAAGCTTCGCTAAAACCCCTTCTGCCCTCTCCATTGCCTGGCACCGTCCTGTACAGTGGCCTACAGGAGTCTTTTCAACAGCATCTGCTATTTGCGGGCACTGAGTTTGTGTTGTATGCAATCATAGAATCATAGAATCATAGAATCATAGAATCATAGAATCATAGAATCATAGAATCATAGAATCATAGAATCATAGAATCATAGAATCATAGAATCATAGAATCATAGAATCATAGAATCATAGAATCATAGAAT